GTCCTTGACCTGGGTAAAACATGTCCCAGTTTGGTGAAAACTTAGGTTAAATTTTAGTGTTTTGTTATTAAAATTCATAACACCATAAGTTAGGTTTTTATGTTGTTTGCGTCACTAACTGCACTATAAGTACAGAACGTGGAGTGTGTGCATTGTTCTATTAACTTTTCTTACATGTTTTGATCTTTTTACTTTCTCGTATATACGAAGTAAAGAGAAAGTATTGTAATCATGCAAAAAAAAAAAAAAATCGAGATTTTTACAAATCTCGACGTTTTACACCTCACTGTTACGGAAAAACATAATTTTGCAATCGTGTCCGTATGTCTGTGTGTCTGTCTGTGTGTGTGTGTCTGTGTGTCTGTGTGTAAACACGATAACTTGAGTACCGTTACAGCTAGGTTGATGAAATTTCATATATAAGTATTATATCAAATTCGTAGATCAGTATTAACTTTTGAGCGATTTCCGATAACCGGAAGTGGTACTTTTTCTACTTTGAATTTTTCAAAAGCCTATAATTTGAGTACTATTTCAGATAGATAAATAAAATTTCACTTGTAAGTAACAAATCTAATTCTCTACCTTGTGTCAAATTTTGAGTAATTTCCATTGACCGGAAGTACTAATTGTCGCTATTTCCGATTTCTCAAAAAACGCATGTAAATTTATAAAGTACTAATAATATTGCTCACTATTATGAACATCTTTATTTGGCGTTCACTTGGTGTGCAATTCTTTTTTTCTACAAGATTTTATTCTATTTATAAAAGGTTAAGTATTTTAAATGGATTAAAAGTCGTGCCTATATCCCGAGTTGCCATCCCCTGTTTTTTCATATAAGAATATTCGAGAAAGTTTAGGGGAGATCACTCCCGGTTTATTTTTGTTTATGTCAATGTTAGGTTTTGCAGTTATTTGCTATGAAGGTGTACACAAATAAATAGGCCTACTCTTAAATGGTAATATTCCCATTTATAATTTTGTTTTTGTTCTTCGCCATTAGAGGGGAAGTAAGTAACTAGCGGTTGACTGTTTTGGATATTATATTTATGTATCAAACTTTGTTATTGATGAGTGGCCGGTGTATGCACGTTAATTTTTAGAATCACCTAAAAGTATTTACGTTGCTTTTTACAAGCTTTTTTTAACTCACTTCCTCTGTTTGACGTCAATCTGTCGTCAGTCTGTCGTCAGTCTAGATCGAAACGCTAGAGCAAAATTAGGGGCACTTCTAACTGACAGATACGGTTCATAGATGGTACGTGGGTCAAAATATGAAGAAAATGCAACATTAATTTTCACTTAATTGGTTGCCTAATTAATTTTTATGAGTTAATTAAAATTTTGTCCAAATTAGTTAGCTTTCTCATCAAACTATTACGCACTATTAAACACGCGTCATCAAGTTCTTTAGGTGCGAAATAGTTTTTAGCCATACAACTCTATTGTAAATTTAAAACATTTAAAGTACTAGAAAAAAATTCATAAAAAACGATTTAATATTAAGCTTTTTTGTATTAATGCACTAAAAATTACAAAATAAATTATGCACTGTTATTTAAATACCTATAAAGAAAAGCGCGGGTGTCTTCCTAAATGTTATTAAAGGTATCCAATTGATACTAAAGTGACCAACGCATTTCTTTATAGATATTCAAATAGTAGTGCACAAGGTTATTTTGTACTTTTTAGTGCATTATTACATAAAAGATTGATATTAAAACGTTTTTTATGAATTTTTTTTACAAGTTTTTATTTAATTCACTTCCTCTGTCGTCAGTCTGTCGGTAGCCTGTCTGTCTAGATCAAAACGCCCGAGCAAAAATTGCAGGGACTTTTATTTGACAGAATACAGTTCGTAGTTGGTACGTGAGTCAAGATGTGAAGACAATGCAACATGACATTAAATTTGACTTAATTGTTTGCCTGATTAATTTTGTATGAATTAATTAAAAATGTTTCCAAATTAGTAGGCTGCCTTATCAAATTATTCCGCGCTAAAAAAATAACCTGCTTTAACATTTAAATTAAGCAAAGGTTTAATATGGCCGGAGCAAAGTATAGCCGATAATGCTCTATGATAACAAGTTATACGTTTAGCATAATAGAACATTTTAAACTTCTGTTTTAATTGAGCTTTTACAACATACGTTACAGTAAGCCAATAACAAAAATTCTGTTCTAGTTTTGCGTTAAAAGCTTAGAGGAGTGAGTAAATATGTAAATAGCTTCACAATAATTTACATACGCTCCAGTCAATTTAAATATTATCTAATGAACACGTACTATACTATTTGATACGAATTGAATTGGCAAATTTTACTCGGATGTAAGAACTTTACAGATAACAAATGCATAGATCACATTAATTGGCTCAGTGTAAATTGTTGTTAACGAAGTTTGAAATTGCCATTTTATGGAGTATCTTGAGATTCTAAGGAAAGTATGAAATTTCTCGGAAGTATGGTTTGTATTACACCCCAGGTAATCCATGAAATATGATGCACCCTCCTAAGCAATGTGTGGAGATCAATATAAAGCGGCCAGTAACAAAACGGTCCAGTAAAACCGACCACATCATAAGGGCCAACAACAGATGTACCCCGTCATTTAGCCTCCATTTAAATAGCATCTCTTTATATAGGCTGCCAACAAAAGGGCTCACGTCAATAAAGCTCCAGACATTGTATTACCAAGCTATGTGTGAATGTCGATCCGTAAAACATGAATGGTTATAGAATGTCTAAAAGTAAACGAAGAAATTAAAAATGAAAATATGTGTTTGGTTAATAATGATAAACAAAAAAAATGTATTTAAAATAAAGAAACGTTTAAAATATTTCTAAATCTAGCAGTTAACCTTGACGCTAACTTCAACCGTAGAGCTATTTATTGGTTTGAGTTAGCGTTACTATGTTTATGATAAGGGCTACGTTTAGTGTTAGGAATTAGGTTTTTAAGATTTATGAATGGTGTTTAGCAGTGCCGCAAAAGTTGAAGGTAATAGGTCCACTATATGTTAATATTTAAGGAATGAATAGTTGTTTGATTGAGTGAGCATAACATCTTTCCTCATAGTCAAAGTTTTAAAGCAACAGTTAAAATAACAAAGAAAGACGTCTGGTATGATTTTATCACTTGATTTGGTGATAACAGATATCATCGCCAAATTCAGTGATACAATATTTTATTTCTTTATTCAATAGAAAATCGTTTTAAACATTCAAGGAGCTGTCACTTCTCTCGACTTGAAGGTTGTTGACTTCGATGTCGTATTCCGGTGGAACAGGGTTCACCTGGGGGTCATCTGACCCAGATTTAGCCACAGCCGTACCACTTTTGGGTCCTACATGCTGAGTCGTACCCACAGGTCTAATTCCAGTGTAAATGCCGAGCTTAGAGACTAGACTAGCGCTTTTCGAGCCGGTGTACAGTGAAATCCCGTTCGGTACTGTATCCCATCTTACTTCAACGTGTTTACCTACAACATCTTCAAATTTACCAGTCAGCTTAAACACGTAGTTGTTTTCGTCACATAATTCGTCAATAACGTATTCAGAGTTTGGGTACATAGACTTAATGTCATTCCATAACCACGGGTAGGCGTTGGATGTGCTCTGTCGTTTTAGTGCTTCGTAAAATGGGGTGGTGGAGTCTCCGAATTTGTAGTTGACAGTTGGTGTGTCTCCACTACTCCGGTACTGCTGGTGATATTTTGTGTACTTCCCGTTTGGTCCTTGCAGCAATAGGAGAAAACCTTTCAGCTCGCAGCTGAATCTTGCGATGACCACTGCGGTGTAAGGGACAGTTGTTCGCGTTTTGGAGAGAATGAGACTCCACTTCCCCGCACTGTATGGTGCCATTTCCTTAGAAGTGCTGACAGAGAAACTCTGAGACTGTTCGTTGTTGTTTTCATCGGTTGTCGAAGTAGTTTTTTCATAGGCGAACTTAAATGAAGCGGTAGCGCCCATTCCACCAATAGGTGGTGGTGTATAACTAATCTCAAGCCCGAGTTCTTTAGAATTTTTAAATTCGCTTGTCGTTGTATGCGTCACACTTCGGACAATCGTCTCCGTTCGAGTGATAGCCTTTGTAGCTTTTGTCGCGTCGTTGTTGTAGTAGGATCCACTGTCAATGCTCTCTGGCTTTAGGTCTTCAATAACAGGATTCCCGTATTTAATTTCTTTGATGCCGAAACTCCAGTCGCCGTAAACCATACTAAGACGCTGGTCATTCTTGAACCCCTCGCACGTACCAGATCTATCCGCGACCCAGGTGTACCCGTTGCGTCTGAAATCTTCCCCATCAAACGGGGCGATACAGCTTTGGCACCAGCCATATCCCAAATGCGACGCCAGTTGCCCCATACTATTCATCGTCTTGTCCATGACCAACTCTTTGATTTTGTAGGTCTCGTCAATTTTCGCAGGCTCGGCAGCCATCTTACAGCATTTCATTTTGTTGATACAGTACAGTTGGTTACAATCAGATCGGTACAGCCCTGTTATGAAGTACCCGTCCTTGCAAGTACACAACCCTTCGTCATCAAAACAATTCTGGATGTTTGTGTCTTCATAACATTGACCGTAATAGGTAGGATGGCCCGCGGGTTTGTAACATCTACCGAATTCAATGTTACTCAAACCTTGACCGTCGGACCTGTACAATCCTTGCAGGAAAAAACCAGGAGGACAGTTAGCCCACATGTTGTTGTTGTCCAGAATGAACTGCCACTTGGCGTAGACAATTTGCCTCGGGAAATCTACCCAAGGGTTGGGTGGGTAGCAACACATGGCCTTCTCGAGGCTAGAGATGGGGTCGTTGCCCCACGCTAGTCTGGCTCTGCGGTAGAAGCCAGAGATGACGCCCACAGTCGAGGAACATTGGACGTGGCCTCGTTTGTCGAAACCACTGCTCCAGTCTGAGTACTCACAGAGGCACCACGCACCGGATACCAGGACAGACACCACCAGCAGAATATATTTTAGTTCATTCATTCTGGTAAGATTTTTAAAGGAAATTTTAAAAATAAAATTATGTTTGATTTCACTATTCTAAAAAAGTAAAGTTTTCATTTTAAATATGACGGTCCATGGGGCAAATAAAGTAGAGTTCACCTCTGCCTGTGATAGTGTAGTCAGCACTATGCAAAGCCCTGACGTAAACACGGATTCAAACTCGAAACTTTCGGGCTAGCGCTCTACCGATAGGCTATGCCTAAACGATCTAAACGGTATGTAAATGCATAATTTAGAAAACATAATTATTAATATTCTGTATTTTATAGTTGACAGTTGTTAGCTGAAAAATAAAAGTTAAGCACCATCAACCTGTTTTGTTTTATTTTTATGTTTTGTAAAAAAGAAGAAAACGATTTTCTTCAATTATATAATAATATACTGTTATTCAAATAACTAAAAAGAAAAGCGATGTTGAGTAACTTTTCTACTCATGGAATATATTTAAAAACAAGACTACTACATTAAAAATATTTAGCAGTGTTAATTCATTTTGAGATACATGATCACATTGTGAAAACAAGTTAATAAAAAGTCTAGTGACAATTTAAGCGCAATTTCCTTAATTAATTTTTTGTGACCGAACGAAAGGATATTTTTGAAAACTTTCTTCGGCAATATTGTTCTAAATTATGACAGGAATCGAATGGTAGATTCTAAATGTTTCAAGTCGCTAAGTGGTCTGTTTGCCGAGATATGGGCCAAAAACTGCATTTTTTTGAGGCTTTTTGGCTTTTCCGTGAAATCCAGGAAGGAATTCCGGGAATTTTTTTGGCCCACAATCATCCTCGGAAATTGCTGAAACATATTTGCTTAGAACTAGTCCTCGATATTGCTTCGTTGAGGAGGAGATTCGACTTAAAGCTGCGGACACACATCGAACACACATCCATCCTTGACGAGTTAATAATCGCAATTGTCCGTATGGAAATTGCGCTAAAAATATTCTTTTAATAATGTGTAGGATATTTTCATTTTCAGCGAAAAAAGAACAACTCGAGTAATATTTAATTTGATTATGGTTTTATTTAGTTTAAGATTTTGACAACGACAGTTAAAAAATATTTTTAGCTACATATTTAAAATAAATTTCAAGGTATATGCCTACTTAAGTGTAAAGAATAGCTCTGTAAGTGTTAACTCACCTTCAGTCAAAGAATTTGCCTAAAAAAACGCTAAAAGCAATTGATGATTATTGGTTCTCTAACTAAGTGTTAAATAGCAAACGTTGGTTTTAAAAGTGCACAAGCGCACAGAGGCGTATCTGTTTCCACAGGCGCCCTAAGCAAGTGTTCATTGTATAGTGTTTTTTTTTTTATTATTCTAATAATATTTCACTATTATAGACAGGCTTTTAAGACGACATTCTGATTGAATAATCTCTAATGCAAAGTCGGGGAAGGGAGGTGGGGATCGAAGGGGTGTTGTAAATGTTTACGCCTTCAGTCGAGAATACAGAAGAATGCATTTAAAACTATTTTACCTTAAAAAATGTAAGAGAGATGTGTCGTCTTATAGACTCAATCGTTTTATACTCCGGGAAATACTATATAGCAGACGACACATTTCTGCTTAAAGGCATGAACGGTCAATCGCGTCACAACAACACTCCTTAAAAATAATAATCATTAAAAAAGTTTTAAAAAACCCACGATTTCTGATTGAACTAAAAAGTAGAAAATAAATGCTATACAGAAGATTTTTTTGGGTTTCTGATTTAGTAGAACACAACACTATATCTATCAAGGCAAAACACAGACACAGCTCTATCAAAAAGACAAAAATCGTCAGACACGATTTGTATGCCGTGCAGTCTTCTATTTTATTTGGAATTTGATAAGGTAACACTACCTCTTTAAAGGCCGCCCTCCTATGTATCTTAGACAAAGTGTCATGAAGTAGCAATTAAAAGCGTAAGTGGACATCAGTACCCAGGTTATTGTATACGCTATCAAGTGACAAGTATGCCGTTTTTATTTTTAACATCACTCTTTACAATTTACTTCGCCGCTTATGTAATAGGACAATCAGAGTTTCTTCCAGGCATCTCTTCGGGGGGGCGAAGCCCCCCCCCCCCCCGAAATTTTTTTACCGCCCCTCCCGAACGAAATGAAATTTATATATTTATATATAGAAAATATATACTTTTAACAGTGTCCGCCCCCCACCCGAAAAAAGTCTACCGCCCCCCCGAAAGTTTCAAGTGCCCCCCCCCCCCCGGAGAAAAAAGCCTGGAAGAAACACTGAGGACAGTATCAATTAAATTCGGAACAGCCGCCAGACAAAATCGGATGTGTTCATTGCAGCTCATAAGCTAACGTCTTTTGTAGTAGTTTGTAAAGTATGAACTTGTTATGTTTAGACCGCATTTGTATAAACCTATATATGTATAAAACACGTATTAATTTCAATTCCAACTGCTTTGTTCTCCAAAGGGAAACCATCCAATAAATGCTTACACAGAAAGACATGATTGTCTCCTTTTATTTACACCTTGGTTTCACAATTCGTTATTTGCCATTTATTTTCCCGTTATGCTCACTATAGTCTCACTAAAGCTTTGCAACCACTATCTCAAGTAAGAAATAAAATACGCTTGTACTGTTCCAATTTATTTGATCCTTGGAATGGTTAACTACATTTTCTGTTTGGTCAGCTCAAGTCATGTATCATTTAATGGGAAGTAAACGCGTAAATCTGGAACCAAGCAGGGTGGCAGAGTTGTTTTCTTTTATTTACCTTTTGTGTCTCAGACTAAACCAAAAGTTTTGATAAAAACCTCATTAAAAAAGCTGCTTCGATTCGGTGTTTTGACCTAGATTTGGAGAGTCTGCACTTCTCACTTCGATAACTTTGGCCAGCTCACGTATTAGAAAACTTCTGATTAATTCGTGTACCAGACAAAAAAAGAAAATCCCGTGTATCTACAATCAAAATTGCACCCTGTAGGGGGCCGGCGAACGCGCCTGATTCAACTTAGTGAACGACTAAACGCCATCTTATCCATAGTCTATCGCACCAAATTGCACACTACCGGGGCGCCGGCCTTGCAAAACTGAATTTTTTTTTCTTGCAGAAACCTACCCAAGCGTATTTTCAACAACTTCCCAAAGTTTCATGGCGATCAAATGAAATGTGTAGCAATGTACAAAAGACAAAATCTGACGAAATATATTAGGAGGGTTTCATTAATGCTCTACCTATCCTATATTCGTATGGGGCGGACTGGTCCCTGAGTGAACTCACGTTAGGTAAACTAAAGGCGGATGGGTAGTGACCACACTATCTCTTCATATGTCAAGGTCACAGAAACTAGTGAACTTTACTTCACTTGCCCCATAGTCCGTCAGGTTTAAAAGGGAAACTTACTTTTTATCCTATATTCGTAGACACATGACCTTGTTTTTAAAAATAAGTTACTTAAAGGTTAACAATGCCTGCGTTTGAATTATATTTATCGGGGCACTGTTTTACCTACACTAGCGCCCAAAAAAGCCCGGAGCGTCTTATCGCACCCACCCGGGCCGCCAACGGACGCGCATTATTATGTTTACTGAGCGACTCTAAAACCCAATGTTAAGCACAGTATTTCGCATTTTTAAAACAGACGTAGATGCCATATCGCTTACGACATAGTTCGGATGGAGGGGGGGTGCAAATTGCACCCTGCCGGGGCGCCGGCGAACATGCCTGATTCAATTTATTGAGCGACTATACTGTCCCATTTTATCCATAGTCTGTCTCAATGATTAAAACGAACGTAGGCACCACACCACTGCGAATTTTAAAATTTATTCCCAAAAAAACCTCGTCAGTTGTATTCTCATTTACTCCCCAAAGTTTCATGGCACTCGCATAAACGGTGTTGAACGTCATCCTACTTTTATTTTTGTATGTACAGTATATTGATAAAAATAGCACCCTCCTGGTGCGCCGCCCTTGCGAAATTAAAAAACAGATTTTTTTTTTGCAGAACCCTTCCCTATAGCGTTCTAATTAACTCCTCAAATTTTCATGGCGATCGGATGAAGGTTAATAAACATATTTGCTGCTGAATATTGTTATAGATTTCCTAAGCAAATACGGCTTTCCATAATCAAGCAAGGTTTATCTTTGTTTATGTCAAACCGCAATCGACTTTTATTTTTATAAAACGTATACAGAAAAAAAGTGCGCCCTGCTGGGGCGCCAACCCTGCGAATTTGAAATAGTCAAACTCCCAAAAATTATTTTCTGTTAGGGGGCCTTTTTGTCTAGTTCCGCCACTGGTCACAACGTTCTGTTGACGTGAAGATAATCAGTAAATCCGATCTGCGATTAGTAAACAAACTATCTATTCATCTATGCCGGCGCATTGGATTATCAATGCCTGTGGTTATTTTCAGATAGTTTATCCGTTGTTATTTATATATTATAGGGATATAACTGATAGCGATTCAAAAACATTTTTATGATGCCCAGTCAAAAGATGGTAATACGGGTTGCATTGATAGTAAATGAATATGACTGGCATTATTTAAGATTTAACACTGAATGTACGATTTCTGTCAATGGATTAACGCTCATCCGTGTTTCTATAACGATAGGATTAGCCACATGTAATAGGAGTGTAACAGGAGTTTATTTTTTTCATAAAAGATAATCCTTGCTTTGTATAAAGGTTTTTCTTTAACGAACTTTATACTTGTAATTTAGACAATTGTATTTACACACTAACATACAAATGTGCAAATATTGTGTTGTAGTTCCGCCACTGTGTCTCTCTGTACGAACTTTCATGAGAGATTGCCAAAGCTGCAAAAATGTAATTGCTTTGTATCGTCAGCTTCTTAAGGTCTTGCAGGTATATTTTCCCTAAACAGCTTTTACAATAATGGGATAATATGCGTATGCAAAGCTATCCAGAACCCCCCCCCCCCCCCTCTCCTGGACCGAATGAATACCAAATAGACCTTATCACAGTTACTAAAAATTTAGGA